GTGGCGGGGTGGCGTGCGGCCGGGCGCCTCGCGGAGATTTCTTCCCCTTTTCACACCAAAGTGTCTGGAGATTTCCTCGCCTCGCTGCACCCCCCCGCCCCCTACAGTGAGAAACCCCCAAAACAGCAATTCCTTCCACTGGGGTTTTTTTTCGGTATTTCAAAAGGCGCTGGGCAGAGCAGAAGAGGATAATGCCAGAGACGGAGCAGCGAGAAGCAGGAGGCTGAATTTCGCTTTGGGGATGCGATGTGTCCGAGGAGCAACCCTGATGGCAGGTGTTAATGTCCTCCCTCAGGCCCACTGGGACATAACTTCAAAATGGGGCTGGTGGGGGTGCAGTTTGAACCAGGTAACCTCCAGAAGACCCATCCAAGCTAAATAAGTGTGTGCTGCGCTGCTGGAGATACTTACTTTTTAATGGCACAAAGTACCCGGCTAGTGCTCAGAGCAGTGTCCACGATGAATACAAATGCACTGTCCAGCCAGCCCTCTGTGTGGTCCAGACCAGTGACGAGCTCAAGTTTCACTTCAAACACTTCTTTCTTCATCCAGCTCAAACTCTGGCCAGCAATCATACAGTTAACCTGCAAAGAAGTTCCCCACCACGTGGAAAAAGAGCAGTGAAAATTGTAGCTTCCCAAAGTGTCCCTTAAGGTGACCAAAGGCAGCTTCTGGTAAAGGGGAGAGAGGAGATTCCCTGGTCGCATCCTGCAGGGCTCTGCTACTTCCCTTTCAGGTCTCAGCTGATGGCAGCTTGTACAGTCACAGAGACAAAGTCATAGCTTGTAAATTGGAAACTTAGCGGGGCTGAGCCAGTGGGTTCGGACAGAGTATATCAAATCCGGCAACGTATCTTAAGCCGTGAGGTACCCCGCTAAGCTGTAAGGACTAAAATGGGAAAAGGATACAAAAATGAAAGGCACGAAACAATTTCTTGTGCTAGAAACTTAAAACAATATGTCGACATTTCCTTTTATACAGGAAAATGTATAAAAGCTACACTGGGCTGTGGGATGAATCTGGCCTGGCGGAATGGCTCACCCCGTTCCTGGCCCATTCCCCACTGCCAGCTACAGCTGAGCTGTTCCAGGGGCTTAACCCCTCCGCCCCCCCCCCATGTGAGATGATCAAAATGTAAATGTGTTCATGCATGCAAAAAGCAGCTGCTTGAATGCATGGTCAAATAGCACAACTGGGGGATGTGATAGGTACATACCTGACAGGCCCAGCAAGCAGACTCTTGATGCCGTGCCAGGAGTGCACACGTGTTCTGGCCTACAAATGTGCGTCGGTCATGTGCGTGCATGTGCACCTTTTGCATGCACATTCCATCAAGTGGGCACTTGAGTGTTTTGGTAGGAAGATAAACTTTTCCCCCACGGCTGAACTCCTGAACTGTTGCAAGGTAAATGGTCCCAAAGTGCCTTCTTCATATGTATAAATTGTAGCACCGAACAGAGATACAGCACAATTAAATCAGGGGAGGGGTCTGAAATGAGCAACTGAAGAAAATCTATGCTGTATATCCGGAAGTTAATTGACAGAAGGACAGACAAAGGCAGAGATGTCACATCCCTACACCACGACTTCAGCACCTTTCATCAGCATCAGTGTATCTTTAAAATGTATTTTTTTGCTGTAAACCGCTGATGTGTAGGAAAAAGGCAATCATCTAAATCAATAATAATGACAATTAATAATGGATACTGTCTGAAAGAATGTAATGCAGGCAAGCTTTTGAAGGGAGTATTCCAAACAAATGTTTTATTGCATCGCACTAAGACAGTGTGCATTTAAGCATCGTTACAGAAAAAGAGGTCAAGGAACCTCATTGACCCGTTTGGTATGCTTGGCTAACTCCATCCAATTACTTAATCACTTGTCCCCTCAAATTCCAAATGACTGAGTACCTCCATCTACGATAGAAAAGCCATTTAAGACAATATGTGTGACATACTGGGCTCCATTTTGATCAAGTGTACCCGGTTTGCCTGATACAATAGTTTTCATAATACGATCTAATTTATGGCAACGTCTGGTAGGTACAGTTGCATTCGTGATAGGGAATGGGCATGTCTTTGCTATAAAACTGTATTTTCCCAACCTTCAAGCCAAATATTTGTTTAGAGGTTAGAAAATGTTTACCTAAGAACACACCTCTCTTCGGTGGTGATAGGAAACTGGCTGGGTAGCTGAACAGTTTTATTTACTGGCCTCCTTCAGTTTTCCATTTTTATGAATCACTCATTCTCCATTTTTAGAAGTCTCTCACACTTAGAGGCTTACTGGGCTAGAGAGAAAAGGAGGACTCTGCTGAACAGAACCTGCACTGCTCTTATAACTGGATTTTTTCCCCCACAGGTTTTTGGAGGCATGGGCCGGGGGGGAACAATGGCAGAGCAGCACAGCTCTGTCACTGAAGCGTTCACGTTCTTGCTTCCAAAGCAAACGTCTGGACAGTCCGAGTTTTAGCCACCGTTGTTTATGTTCATGTTTTGAGTTAAAGCCCTTAACATACCTGATAATATAATTACAGATTTCATTGGGATAGATGTGCAGAAAGGTGTTATAATGTTCAGTTTTCTGACTTCAAGTGATCGTATTTACCATGATAATATTGTATGTGAATGCAATTATGTCATTCCAGAATATGTTATGTCCATTTTCACATTGTTTTGCTAGTCGAGGATCAAGCTAGTCAAGGATTCAGTGGACTGAATTCAGTGTATGTACAGAAAGTCACAACATGCTTCGGCAAGGAGTGACTGAAATTCTGGAGCAGGCTGTTACAGAACAGTCTTTTTTCCAGCAGAAGTTTCATTCTGCTGTGATTATCCCTCTTAATAAAACATGAGTCCAGTTAAGAAAGCGTACCACATCATCACATCACTCATCCACTAGCTACGCTCAGTGATAACCGGGCTGCTTACTGCCGGAGAAGTCCAGCTGCTAGCAGGGAGAAGAAACCCGCTATTGGTAGATACCGGTGCTCTCTATCACACCAAACTCCCCTCTGAGCTACAGAAAATGCAAGCACAAGCTGCCTGTCTACAAGGGTAGAAAAGAAGACACACTCTAATTCACCCACAGAACTGAGACAGAAATCTTGTTTGTGTCCTTGGGTGCTAGGAAACCATAGAAAAAGTTAGTAGTCTCTCTAACTCTGCTGCTTGGGGAGATAATGACAACTCCCCTATCACATCGCTGGGTTAGCAGCTTCTCTAGTGTTGTCCACAGGCTGAGAAAATCCTCTCTCGTACATAAGAAATGTAAGAAAGACTGTGGGAATCACTGCCATTTTCTGTTAGGAGAGGTGAAATTGAAATAAAGAGGTTTTGTGTTAATGGCAGCCTATTTTTCTCTGAGCTTTTTGGTTAACTAAAAAAATCTTTTGTTACTGACACATTTCCAATGAAATACTGAAGTGCTCCAAACACTGGAAGGCAAGATGGTGGTAGGCTGGAGCGAGATGACAGCCTGGTGGCAGACAATGACCGGAGAGGGGGGCCACTGTACTCTAGTCTTTTGTCCAGTGAATGTAAATGATATTAGAGAAAAATACTTTTCACTTCAGTGAAAAGCGAGAATAGCTCGCAAGAATAGCTCACAAGAATGCTCCAGTGCCCGGAGACTGGCCTATGCTGAATGGCATATGGCGAAGAGGAGGTTTGATGCTGGGGCTCTGCTGCTCTAATCACTGAGCTCTAGACCCTGAGGGGGATGAGTCTGGGGAAAGGGAAACACCCATGTTTGACATGTACTAATATCAAGACTATAAAATATTTTCGTCACCTGAAAGAAATAACTGAAAGTGACTCAAATACACAGAAAGTTTCAAGTTGACTGAAAGGTGGTTTTTTGTTCCAAAGAGCTAGCCTCGCAGCAAAATCAGAAACAAAATTCTCCATTTTGACATTGGTCTTAGAAGAAAATGTCCTACCTCTCAATAAAGTATAAATAATTACACTGAAGAACCTTAAGTCCTGAGAAGCAGGGTAAATAAAATCAGTTACTAGGCAATATTTGTCCTGACAAACCTGTTCTGCTCTGGCATACCTATAGCATGAGCTCACAGTACGTTGAACAGAGGAGGTGGTGGTGGTGGGGAGGAGTGGGATGAACCGGGACAGTGTGGGAGCCAGTAAACAGTTATGTGCGGAGAACATGAAATAGTATCAAAGCTGTGTCACCCTGACAGCTGAATATTGAACAGCAATAGGGAACCGATTTGTCCTTCAGGGTTTTTCTTCAAATTTGGCTTGAGTATAAATTCAGTGGTTATAGCAAGTCTAAAGTCTGACTGGTCTGTCCTAAATTATGCGTATGTGAAGAAAGATAGCCATAAATGTAAGATTCTCTGAATTCACTTGCATTAAGGATTCTGCCACATTTAACTGTTCCCATGAATATTTTTTTTAATGAAATTGCGAAGAAGTAGAGTCCTTCATAATTTGCTGTATCTGTTAAATGAAGGCTGGAACATAATACATTTCCTGTTGTAGAAGAAAATACATCTGAACAATTGTTTCTGAACACACAATTTGTGGGCTTTTGCAAAAGTTAATATAAGGTCATCTAGTGGCTCTGATTGAATGTCATGCCCCCCTGGGCAGGCAGGATGTGGACTTATCTCATCCTCGGAGGCACCAACACAAACGTAGTTAAGTTGAGAAGCAGTCAGATGGGTTGCCATGTGTTCTGTTTTGGATGGGTAAGGTGTTCTATTTTGGCTAAAGGGAATCATCTAGATTTGGGTCAAATAACATGAATCTTAAAAAAATTGAAACAACACAGCCTGACTTTATAGGTGTCGTGGTTTAACCCCAGCTGGCCACTAAGCACCACACAGCCACTCGCTCACTCCCCCATGGTGGGATGGGGGAGGGAATCAGAAGGGTAAAAGTGAGAAAACTCCTGGGTTGAGATTAAGACAGTTTAATAAGTAAAGCAAAAGCTGTGCACACAAGCAAAGCAAAACAGGGAATTCATTCACTACTTCCCATGGGCAGGCAGGTGTTCAGCCATCTCCAGGAAAGCAGGGCTCCGTCACGCATAACGGTTACTTGGGAAGACAAACGCCATCACTCCGAACGTCCCACCCCTTCCTTCTTCTTCCCCCAGCTTTAGATGCTGAGCATGACGTCATATGGCATGGAATATGCCTTTGGTCAGCTGGGGTCAGCTGTCCCGGCTGTGTCCCCTCCCAACTCCTTGTGCACCCCCAGCCTACTCGCTGGTGGGGGGGGGTGAGAAGCAGAAAAGGCCTTGACTCTGTGTGAGCACTGCTCAGCAGTAACGAAAACATCCCTGTGTTACCAACACTGTTTCCAGCACAAATCCAAAACACAGCCCCATACCAGCTACTGTGAAGAAAATTAACTCTACCCCAGCCAAAACCAGCACAAGGAAAAAGTAATCTTTGAAGAGGAGATTCATTCCCGTCTTAATGTGGCAGGAGGATGGAGATGCAATAGGAGAGTACAGACATATTTAGGTCTTTAAAATTTGTCACCAAGCAAGCTTGTGACAGTAGATATATTGCTGTGGAAGAAAAAGAGTCAGCGAAGTCTGTGTCCGTGCCATTTCCAGTATCTTGCCTGGCTGCATTCTACTTGAGAGGGAGGGGAGAAGGCTTGAGATTTAGTGGCTTCCTCAAAAAAAATCATTTTATGCCATTAACTTAATGGTGCAACACTGTCCACAAAGGTTAAGACCACTGATCTGTGATAGCAAAAGGATGAATGTGCCTGGTTTGGGGGCTATATTTAGGGGAAGGTTTACGTCATGGAGTAGTAGTATTTAGAATCAAGAAAGTTTGTATGCATGATCAGGCACAATTTCTTTCTCGAGTGAGTCATGCCTTGCTCAGCATAAATGTAATTTTCCTTAGAGTTGCGATAAGTATTCATATTTAGCCAATGATCTCGTCCAAATGGAATAACTGATAGATAACGGTTTTAATAAGATAAGCATTTTATGTCGTGGAAAAAGTAATTTCTTGTATACTTGCCGTCAGGTCTACCCAATGGCATTATCCAAAAAGGAACTTGGTCACTCTAAGAGGTATACGTCCAATGGGGATGCGGGCTGCATATATGTGCGTAAATACCTGCATTCATATATATACATATATGTTTGTATATAATTTTATATATAGTGTGCTTCCTCAAACTTTTCACTGTTATATTCTAAGTTGTGCCATATCTTGGTAGAAAGGTAATTACCCGTGATTTGTAGGATTGTGTTAACGCTGAAGGAATGTAATAGCTCAGAGAATCCAGGATGTCAACAAGACCTTATTAGAGC